GTTTGCAGCCTCCGTCACTTATTCTACACTTTTTTCCCCACCTCATCGTCGTTTGCCCTATCTTCGCCTTTTCTTTCTTTATCTCCTGCTTTGCCTTCATTTACATTGCTTTCAACTCTGGTGGCTGTATCGCGCAGGTTGATGGCATTTTGTCTGTGTAGATTCGTGTTCCTTAATCATACAAATCTACCTCAAACTCTCTATAGCTGAGGTAGGTGAGTCTAGAATCTTTATAGCTATGAGAAAATATCTGTTTCTATAGAAGAAAACAAAAGAAAAGCCAAATGAAGAATAGTGAGAAGTTAGAATTTTTTATTTATGATGACTTTGTCTTCATGTCTGTCTGTGAAAAGGTTGTTTCTGGGTATTAGACGCTTAGAGGGTCTATTAGCGTTTCCCTTTCCTATAAAAGAGCATGACCTCTTCCCCAGTAGTACGTCAATGGTGCTATTTGAATGCCTTTGTGATCAACTCCTCCTTGGTAATGTGTTTTACTAAATCAATTGACTCAACAAAGCATGTGGCAAGGTGTACATATTTGTCCTAACGCCGTAGAGGATTTGCAAGACGTCAGGCGTTAGATCTTATAAATCCGTTGATCTTTTTTTACGGTATTCTTTGAAAGAATGACAAAATTGTAGGTAGGGGAAGTATGTACGTTAGAGATGCATCTAACCCAGGAATTCGGACTTGTTCTTTTTATCTGCTTTACTGTTTAAATTTTTCAATTCTTTTCACAATCTCTGGTTAAACACTCATCCCTTGGCGTTTTAGGGAATTGTGCTCCTTTTTCGACCCTCCTCATTGGCTAGCATAAGGCAGAAGTATGTTCTAAGTCGACAGAAAACCGCTCAAGGGTCATGATCAAACACTATAAATACTTCTAAATGAAGAATTTAGGCATTGTAACACATTCATTAATCAGGAAACTCAGTCGGTCAGCCAGCCAGCCACCAGGCCTTTGGGTGCCCTACGCGCCCTTCATTGGACACAGTCGTGATTACGTCTATTACGGGG